ATCAGTCGGGGCAACGCCTGTTTGGCAGTCTCTTCGCAACCTATATCCAGCTTCTGCTTATTTTTTTCTTTAGAATTCGTTCGATTTAATCCATTAATACCCGGTGCTTTGTGTTGCCCATGATCGAATCGCGATGCAGCTAACAACTATTCAACAGTGGTAGTCTGCCGTGTCTAATTTATTCCAAAACCGACTAACAGGACTCTGAAGAACCCGTTGGCGAAGGATGAGATCTACAAATAGTCGACGGAGTCTCGCTAATGGATCATAACCTGAGATAACTTTGAAGCAGCAGGTGGCTTTGCCAGTTCTAATCCAGCTTAATTCCCTTGACAGCGTCATCCTTCCTGGTGTTTTCAGATCCCCAACAGTTTGGTCAGAGACAGACAACGACTGGGAAACCCAGACAGAGATCCAGGACTATATGTTCGATGATAAGGATGGTGACATGAAAGTCTTCGCGGGTATAGGAGTCCAAAACAATGGTGTCTCATCACGTAAGCATCCCGAGCCTTTAGGTATCGAGAGGATCTCGTCCTATTCTGATGTTAGAGCGAACAACAAGAGTTGATCTTATATTCAAAGAATGCAAAAGTGAGTAGAGTGTCAGAATTTTTGAAGGAGAAACTTCAAAACCACACTAAGGGATTAGCGCCAGAAGAATGATGGAATCTACCGCTCTTATCTTGAGGAAGTATGCTACCGCCTCAGACCCTTGATCAGATTGTCGAAGACGAGCAATGTATCAGTAAGGACTCAAAGGCCCCACTTAATGACTCGAGCTCACAGTAGGAACACCATGCTCGCACTAAACTAAAGTAGCCAAACAGTGACGATAGTACCAACTACCACACCCTTCACCTCGATATTGCATATTCAACGTCCCCCCTTAGCCCTCCTCCCTCTTCAATATGATAATAAACAATCCCTATGGAAGGATGCCTTCCACCGTATGTAAGTTGTCACGAAAGGTAAAACTTGGTGCAGCCACTCATTTCTCGCTGATCGCAGTTGTTCATTCGCCTCCTCGCAGCTAAGAGCAAAGCTGCAATTGGGTTTGATAAATGTAGCATCGATGAACCATTGACAGAAAATACTGAAAACCCTGGTCACCATATCAAACTGCGGAAGACGGATGGACGCAACGCGCATGGTTCCCACTATTGCAAGTTCACCGCCAGTCGACTTGGATAGACGTTTTCTTTTCAGTTCAGATTATCTAAGAGGTGGGCTGTATTGTGTGCTGCCAACATCCAAAGCTTTCTTGAGGCTCACCCACACTCGCTACTTTGAAGGTTTGGGTGAGGATAAGCTAGGACGAAGGCGCCTCACTCAAGAGGGGTGGGAAACTAGGGTTATCGAAGTTGGAATTGTCAGATAGTCCGGTCTCGAGGTGGTACCGCCGGGATCCGGCCAAGCGATTTGAGCCCATCAGCGGTCCAATTGCAGACAGAGTCAGATTCGCACTGAATATCGGAGTGATGATGCGAGCAGACGATCCGATTTAACCGGTTACTCTGACTGGGGCCAGCCCGGCCTACGGCACAATAAGCCATGTTTGAGCGACTGCTGTGGCCCAATGACTAGGCTTCTGAACAGGTCTTGTTGCAGGATATGGTTCAAATTTGCCATCACAAGTTGATGAATACTCATATGTGATGAAACGGAGGATGCTGTCATCCGGAGTTTCAGGATATGACACCGAATCCTTTTGCTACTAAGCAAGAGTCGGTGGGGAGAAATTTATTATTTAAAGGCTTCGCTAGAACCGTTGAGTTCCTGCTGTCGTTCTTCAGTGCCTTAGTACCAGTCTCCTTTAGTCTATTACATTCTCTAACCATTACATTCGTTCCGTGCTGCGCGCGGCTGTCTTTGGTCTTCCTATCTTTTTTTCTACGACCTGGAGTCACTCTCTACTTGCCTAAAGACTAGTCAACATGAGATTCTACACTGCTACACTCATTACCCTCAGCCTCCTGGCTGGTAATGTCGTTTCTGGTTTGTTGAAATCATCTCAAGGCGTCGCGCTATAAAGCTGCTTGCGGATAGTTATGGCGAGTGACTAACAAGCGCATCAGCTCCCACTTCGCAGGCTAACGATGTTGCCATACCACTTGAGGCTCGTACCGCCGACTTTGAGGCAGACGACGGGGCCCACCTTGAAGTCCGAGCAAAGAAGAAGAAGGGCAAGAAGGCTAAGGCTGCCGCAGCCGTAAGGGCAGTGGCCGACGATGTTGCCACTATCGAAGTTCGCTCCGAGGACTTTGTGGCTGACGATGCCGCTCATCTCGAGACCCGAGCCAAGAAGAAGAAGAAGGGCAAGAAGGCTAAGAAAGCCAAAGCTGCTGCGAGGGATGTAGTTGAAGGCAGGGAGGATTCTCTTGAGGCTCGCGACGTTGACGTTGATGCCGAGGACTTTGTGGCTGACGATGCCACTCATCTCGAGACACGAGCCAAGAAAAAGAAGGGCAAGAAGGCGAAGAAGGCCAAGGCTGCCGCGGCGGTGTAAACTGTGGTCAAAGTGGTGAGGGACGCATGGGAGCGGCCGCCACCGCCGCCACCGCTGCCTAGGGCAATTCAGCCCCAAAATGCACCAGCGTCGCTTGTGTCAGTGGAAAGAGTGCTGGCATTTGCAGCGCCAAAGATCAATGCACCATCAGTGATTACATTTGATAGATAGATCGCATACTAAATTCGTTGCATTGCAAATGCCTCGACAGCGTATATCTTTACTAACAATAAAATACACCGTCAGGTCGTTTGATCCATAACTATTGGCCTATACTGACCTCTCATATTGAGGAGTCATATTGAAGATTATCATTGCGAGATACAACAGTCGTCAAAATTTGCCGCGTAATGTATGCTTCAATATATTAGTGCAATGGGTATCTTGGAGAAATGGGTTTGAAGCCTGATGCATGAAAGCGCCTGCGGCCAGTGTGCTTGCTGAAAATTTATTGCCAAGAAAACACGATTTGCGTTTCCGTTTATACCAGCCAAAGCCAAGATCAGAATAGGCATGAAGAGATTGACATAAAATCTGAGTGACCCTAAACTGGCGAGTCATGGACCACTGACCTGTCAGTTGAACATTGCTTCGCCCATGAAATGCATGCTCAGGCCGCGCTCCGTTATTTGTGGACAGTACTGTACGTATATGATCTTGGTGTAATTGCAAGAAGTCACAAGCCCCAGATTAAATCAATTACCGTTCGAATTCAATCTGCCCGTAATTTGATTATGGAAACTACCTAAGAGGTAACTCATCGCTGCCATTTCATAGGCCAGATGTATCCTCCTGTTCCTCAACCCGCTTCCGCAGCGCCAAAAGATTCAAAGCACTTCCCGCCTTGAAGTATTCAATCTGCTCAAGTGTCATCGTATGGCTCGCCTGAAGACTCCAAGTCTCTCTATTGTTTTCTCTGGGAGCCACCTTGACTTCGACCTTCTTCCCCGGTTCCAACCTCTTCAGGCCTACTATACTAACCCGATCCGATGATTTAATGTGGTTGTAGTCACTCTCGTCAACAAACTTCAAAGCTAAAAGCCCTTGCTTCTTCAAGTTTGTCTCGTGAATTCTGGCAAAGCTCTTTGCCAGGATAGCCACAGCACCAAGGTAACGTGGCTGGAGCGCTGCATGCTCGCGCGAAGACCCCTCACCGTAATTATGATCACCGATAACCACCCACGGCTGCGAGGCTGCTTTATACGCCCTCGCAGTTCCTGGGACGTCTCCTTCCTGTCCTGTAATCCAGTTGCGCACGGTATTAATCTTGCCGTTCTCCGCATTGACGGCACCGATGAGAGTATTGTTGGAGATATTCTCGAGGTGGCCACGGTAGGCAAACCAAGGCCCCGCAGGTGTGATATGGTCCGTCGTACACTTCCCCTGAACTTTGATAAGAATTTACAATTTTGAAAGTCTCTACCGTGCCAATGGCTAAACGGAACGAGACGTTGCAGGCGCTTGGATGTATCAGGAATTTGTACACTTATTGCTTCGCGGCCGGTAGTTGGCGGATGGCTGTAGACATAATCCGTATTTACGTAAACCCCAGCCGGCAGAGCCTCTACACGCGGCGGTTGGAATCGAAATTCTGTTCCTTTTGGGGCGATCAGAGGATCCGATGCGGGGTCGAATACGAGGTCTTTTGAGAAAATCTTCGCCATGACAATCTCTGGTGAAGCGAGGAAGGTATGTGTTGCTGGGTTTCCGTCTAGTCGTCCGGTGAAGTTATGGTTGTATGAAGTGATAATAGAATTCTTAGTCCCCTGGATTCCAAATTAGTATCATCAATCCTGAAAACATGGGATGCGTAGATGAATAACATACCTTCTCTATATCCTGGCGATCCCAAGAGCCACAGCATGGGCCACATGCGTTGCTGAGTAGCTTACTTCCCAGTACTTCAAATACCTTCAACACACCATTCTCCTCAAGAGTATTTCTATTCAGTTCGCTACCAGGAGACACTAATAGCGGCATTTTTGGCACTAGTCCAGCCTTTATAGCCTGACTCGCAAGCTCTGCTGCCCTTGCCATGTCTTGAAACGAAGAATTGGTACAAGAGCCGATAAGCCCCGCCGTTAATTCCTTCGGCCAGCCTTCTTTGGTGGCATCCTTAAACAGTTTGGAAATAGGTGTTGATAGATCCGGAGTGAATGGTCCATTGATAACCGGCTCTAATTCTGATAAATCGATTTCGAGAACTTTGTCGTCCTGGGCGTCCGAGTCCGCCCGGAGTTCAGCAGAGACAAAGCGTAAGGCTTCAGCGACGTCGTTTCGGTGGGTTGCTTTCAAAAAGGTGTTCATGGCGTCTGAGTATGGAAAGATAGACGTTGTTGCGCCTGTCTCGGCACCCATGTTGCAAATCGTGGCCATGCCCGTTGCCGAAAGGGTCTCGGTACTAGGTCCGAAGAACTCGATGATGGAACCTGTACCGCCCTTGACATTTAGGATACTGACAAGCTTGCTAACGACATCTGATTAAACCTGTTCAGTACTCCAAGCAGTATTGTGTAGCATTTTGCAAGAGACTGATTCTTACCTTTGGCGTTGCCCAGCCAGAAAGCTTTCCCGTAAGCCTGACGCCAATGATATTAGGCGCGGTCAACTCAGCCGGCAAACCTGACATCACGTCCACTGCATCCGCGCCTCCCACACCGATAGCAATCATACCCATTCCGCCGGCATTGGGCGTGTGCGAATCAGTGCCAACGATCATACCGCCGGGAAACGCATAGTTCTCTAACACAGTCTGATGGATAATTCCAGCGCCAGGCTTCCAGAAGCCCATGTTGTACTTTTTCGCCGCACTTGACAAAAATCGTACACCTCCCTGTGCTGGTTCAGCGCCTGCGATAGATCCTCCTCCTGTCTGTTTCTGCTGACGATGAGGTGATCACAGTGGAGTGTGGTCGGTACCGCTGTAGACTCAAAACCCGTAGACATGAATTGAATGATTGCCATTTGTGCCGTGGCATCTTAACATGCGATCCGACAAGGCCAGAGTCTGAGCTGTGTTTTTCCGCGTTCAAACTTTTCGTCGCCAAAATTATCAGTGTGAGCGAAGAATATCTTTTCTGCGTATGTCAATGGTCTCCCTATACTTCAAGATCTGTTAATTGTCGTAAGCAGTACAGCTAGATAGGTTGAAGCCCGACTCACACGTCTCGACATTTCTGAATTTGCAAAGCCAGGTCGTCATAATCGATGGTGTGTTCTGGTTCAAACCGACTTAGCCTGCAATTTTTCTTAGTTGGGCTCACAGTCACCAGTAATCGTGGTCGACACGCATGTATCCACGACAATGCGCCCAATATATAACGAGAAGGATGTCTGAGAGTCCGAAACATTTTGGGCAGGCGTATTGCTCATTTATGAGTAGTGATTGGGATCATAGTTGACGATAAGGAATAAGTTTGTACTTTTCAAAAGGGAATTCCTTTTGTAATCAGAAGAATAACAAAATAATTAAAGTCGTCTCAACCAGTGGTGTGCGGTGGCACTACTCGTGGCGCCAATGCCTTACTGGTCACCGGGCAGATCCGAGATCTTCAATTTCGGTTCGATCCGAAAGCCAGATGCAGCCAGAACTTTATATGTCGATGATCTTTAGGATTGAATTCATTTCGCTACCTTAGAGACGAGGACATTTCATGAAAAACCATCCGCTCTTCGACCGACGGTCTCGTTTGACATACCTCAAAACATGCTCAGCACACAAACGACCGCTTTTGCAGGTAATTAGTCGGGCTCTTCCTCCAGAACCGGCAGCTTGGAGTTTTGAGCTTGCTACCCCTTGTTTTAGATTGTATCGCAGCGGCTCAAGTGAGGCATAGTCTCCTGCGAGATGCTAAGTTGAATGATTGTTTGTCCTGCCAGCTGATAGGCCTGCTCTTTGTCGCCCTTTTGGACCTTCTTGGACAGCGGCCGCCGCGTCTTGCTATAGGCGTCTTGTACCACACTGAAAACAACTGGCGTCAGCGGATTGATACAAGAAATGCCACATCCGAGTGATTCTCGATTGAGGACCTCGATGACCTGGGTACTGCGTAGTTCAAGCCATTCAAGCTATTCTTGTCGAGCGAAACACCTATTGGCTTGCGCAGTCTGATCGAAGGTGCCTTGCAACAGACTTCCAAAACCATGGGAACGGACGGAAGTAACATATGCTTGTAACTTCTGCGGTCCCCGGGATCGAAGACTTTGCCAATACGCTCTTTAATCTTGAGGGTCCACCATTCATTGGTCGACTTTCGTCCTGATCTCTGTATTGATCCTTTGCATCGCCCTTGCCAGCGGAAGAAAGTCGCTCTCCTCCTGAGCGGCGGTCTCGATGCCCTGCGCGACACGGTCCAGCAACTGCAGATCTTCCGTCATCTCCCCAGGCGTGGGCGAGTTGATGACATTGCTAGCGAGGTGAGAGTAAGCAATGTGCGCTCGATAAGCGCCCAATATATAGGATATTGCTTCAGCTGCGGGAAACCTCCAGACATGCAGCATATTGTATGTTAATCCCAGTATGCGGCGCGATGCTCTGGTTGCGTAGTCCGTTCTTGGAATGTTGACGTCAGATGTGGTTGGATTGGGAGAATTCGACTTGAGGAGAGTTGCCTTGCGCAACATAAAGATGATGGAGGTATAGCCAGTGAGGACAAGCTCAGCTAGAATCCATAGATCTATCTGGTCATGGATAGAACGCTGCATCCAGTTGTCCTGCCAAAGTGTCAGCGAACTAATTATTTGATCAGGGTCATTCTACCGACGATTTCCCATTCATCGAACAATTGTTCGACTTCATGGCAAAGGGGTTCGATTGCTTCAACTGCCTCAGATTCATTTTCAAGCTTCTCCAGAGTGTGAAAGAAATGGATCAAAATGAAAGCAAGCCGACTGCGGACAAGAAATGAGATTGTCGTTACTTTCTCACCATTGTCTGGGGGTGAGTCGAACGACAACCATGGCAGATTGACTTGCCACTTGTCAAGGCTCGAATAAAGGGTCGCCGGTTTGTTATAGATCAGGTGGTAGAACAGATCCTGTTGAATCAGTTCCCACATGCCCTTACGATCATCATCAGTGCGTGTTGAACCTGTAGCGGCGAAGTAGTCGTTCCCGTCGAGACCGTGCAAGTGAAGCCCTTTGGCGTATCCGCAAGCCAAGTGATGCATTTCCAGACTCATTTCAAAGTCAAAACACTCAGTTGCTACACCTGTCTGATATTCTTCAGTATTCCACAGGGTCGGACTTGGGAGATTGGAATTTCCTGACGTACCATGAATATAGCGGCTATAAAATCTGTGATGGAACCAGTTGCCTCCTTCTGCCAGCTTGGTATGGTTCGTAGACAGCACATGTACAGTTGCCTGGAATATTTTCTGTCTGGGCTGTGGAACGACCTCGTATTGAGAATATAACATCCTCTCCATAGAATGACGTAGTAGATAATAAGGATGCATGGATCAAGCGTAACGTGACGCATCAGTAGCATATCTGGTATGAGCTCGATGGTCTTCCTGTCCACGAGACTGAGGAAGGTTTCTGTTGGAGTGTAGGTGAAATAATCTGATGTTATCGTCAGTCTAGATGAGCCCGTCTTGTCTGGATTCGGTAATGTCAATTGTTCGAGCTCTCTTACTGTAAATCCATGCTCTTGCTTTTTCGGGAGAAATGTCTATGCCTTCGGTGGCAATTGCGTTCACTCCCACAGACCGTCTGAGCCTCTGGTCTCTGACACAGTCAAAGGTGTCGCTCAAAGTTGAAGCTACGTCAAGCGAGACGGGGTGATGGGAAGTAGCTTCCACGCTCGTTGGCCTTGATACCAAGAGAACTCTTTCTATGGTAGGTGAGGCCACATTGAGTCCCGTGGATGATGAAGGACTTGATGTTGTGACTGAGTATCTAACGCCATCATTGATCGACAATGACCTCGATCCCGCAATGTCTCTGTCAGCATTGCCTGGCCGTTGTGAAACCGAGTCGGCAGACGCTGAAGAGGTTCTGGAGCCTGACGATTGACTCTTCTCGATGCGTTGTAGCCGATCGAGAATGAACGACAAAGTGCTGTTGTCGGTGCTATTTTGCGGTTTCGAAGGTCAGTGCCGGCTTTACCACGACATGAGCCATCACGATTCCGAAAGATCTACCTTTGATGACCTGCATCCCTCTTTTTACTTGTTCGAGGCCTCCGTTGAGGGTACTGGCAGGAAAGACCCTGCATGCTGCACCGCTCGCATACAGGTGTTTCACGGCTACATCTAAGCTGGATAAAATGAGTTGAAGGGCGAGAAAGTGTATGAAGTCAGACGAAGACGTACCTTTTTGCCACGACAACTTGTGCACTATGAAGGCGGATTCAACTTCAGTAACTTTTCAAAGACTGTGTTGCTGCTGCTTGGGAGCCGTACAGCTCTCAAGGGTCTCAAGCCTAGAGACTTTGGGACAAGGTGCGTAGGGAGTGCGGGCTTACCGAGAGACCGTTGACTACCACAACCCGTTGCTGATCCATACGAAGCCAGGGCCCGGAGCTCAAGTGGATAGGATGACAACAGTATTGGTGTAAAAGGGTGCACGTAATAAACTCGAAGGAATGTAGAGAGCCCAGCGTGATACGGGAAAATCTCTAACGGGGTAAAGAAGCACGACGGGGCTGGCGCTGAGGAGTTGTTAAAAATATGGGGATTGGATGATGAACAGGCCTGGTATGGTAAAGTCGTATGAAGTTCTCGTCTGCAGCGTCCCCAAAGATCGGGCTTTAGAGTCGTGTACAATGTGGGACTGACGAATGGGAGAGAGTCTGGTTTTGGGGAATAAGTGACAGGCAAACCATGGTGCCGCGAGCTTAGCTCATCAACCCTTTCCCAATTTGTATAGGATTATGAGCAATAAGATCCGCATTCTTGGCGTGATGCGCTCGCTGCTGAGTTTTAATTGATTGACAATCGCAGCCGGCCCCGCTTCGACACCAATGCACCCCACTGATCCGGCCCTTCGCACTCTCCGAAATTGCGGCTCGGGCTTTGCTCCTTTCCTCAACCAATAACGCGCTATGCCGGTAACTCGGCTTTTGCGATCTAAGAAGCGTATTTCGCACTTTCCGAGAAGACGACATCAAAATACTCCACTGCAACACAATGGTCGAACAAATCCATGTAATCCTTTGCATTCAAGCTCTCTTCGTCATGATGGACGCCGACATAAGTATCTCAGCCATCACTATGACCTTTGTACGGTTCGGTCTCTACTCAGCAACGCTGCAAACGACTCGACTTTTCGGACCACTTCTCCCCCCCAGATATTCCTGTGTCGTTTCCCACTTTTCTAACGATTGTCTCCTTTGGCTCGAGGACGACCTCGACTGTTTGGTTTCCGCCGCATGCTGTATTGTTCGCTGGCATCCTCATTGTTGGAAGATACCTTGAGCTAAGCATAAGCTCATACATTCTATCCAGTAACTATGCCCGCTCCCGGTTTCTTGGGTACGGATGCGACCGCATCCCAGCCTCATGTCGCCAATCGCGATTTCGACACGACTCAAAATATCCCGTCAGATGCTCAGGAAAACGCCGAAGAAAAGATCCATGATTTAGCCAGACGTCTGACTTCTGTCTCCCATGGCCATGGCTCCTCGTTGTTTCCTGAACCCTCCGACCCCACAATCGATCCCAAGAACCCGGACTTCGACGCTCGAAAGTGGGCTGCGGCATTCTACAGGCTCCAGACCAAAGCCCTTCTTGGAAATGTACCAAACACGATTGGCCTGGCTTTCAAGGATTTGCAGGTCTATGGCCTGGGAACTACAATGGATTACCAGAAAACCGTTGGAAATTTCTTTCTGGAAGCTGCAGCGCTCGCATCGTGGATCATACCATCAAGGAAAAAGCAACGAATTGATATCTTGCATGACTTGGAGGGCGTCATCCAAAGCGGAGAAATGCTCGCTGTACTAGGACCTCCGGGATCTGGCTGCACGACTCTACTCAAAACCATTGCTGGCGAAACCCACGGCTTTTACATAGCTGACGGTGCAACACTCAACTACCAAGGAATATCACCTGAGGAAATGCAGACCCATTTCAAGGGCGAGGCCATTTACACGGCAGAGTTCGACCACCACTTCCCCTTCCTGACCGTTGGTGAGACTCTTTACTTTGCTGCCCGGGCTCGCTGCCCCCAAAACATGGATCTTCCGGATGGTATCTCGAAACACCAGTATGCTGAGCATCTTCGTGACGTTGTCATGGCACTTCTCGGGATCTCTCACACAAAGGACACCCGAGTTGGAGATGATTTTGTGCGCGGCGTAAGTGGAGGAGAGAGGAAGCGAGTCAGTATTGCCGAGGCAGTACTGAGCTATGCTCCTCTTCAGTGCTGGGACAACAGTACTCGAGGCCTTGATTCAGCCAATGCTATCGAGTTTTGCCGCACTCTTCGCATGCAAGCAGATGTTTTTGGATGTAGCTCGACCGTGGCCATTTACCAGGCACCACAGGAAGCATATGATGTGAGTTCTCAATGACCAGACCCTTTGTTATACTTCTTCCCACCAGTTGAGGCCCAAGATGGATCATTAACCCCCAACGTTGTGAACAGCTCTTCGACAAAGTCATTGTACTCTATGAGGGACGTCAAATCTTCTTCGGGAAGTCCACCGATGCCAAGGTGTATTTCGAGAGTCTTGGCTTCCAGTGTCCCGAACAGAAGACTACCGCCGACTTCTTAACTTCAATGACGAGCTCTTCCGAAAGGGTTGTGCAACCCGAATGGAAGGGTCAAACGCCACCGCGGAGCCCCGACGAATTTGCCCAGGCCTGGAAAGACAGCCAGCACCGGCGGCGCCTGCTGGCCGATATTGATAGTTTTGAGCGCCAGTTCCCCCTTGGCGGTGAGACCCATATGCAATTTTCTGCCACTCGAAGAGCGCATCAATCGAAACGACAGAGATCTTCTTCACCCTACACCATGTCTTTTCTGCAGCAAATCAGTCTGAACCTATGGCGTAGCGTCAAGCTCTTGATAAGCGAGCCCTGGATGACTGTCACCATGTTGACAACAAACTTCTTCGAATCTCTCATCATCTCAAGTATTTTCTATAACCTGCCCCCCACCTCCTCTAGTCTATACCAACGACTTCTGCTTATTTTTTACACTATACTGATCAACGCCATGGGAAGCATTCTGGAAATTCTCACTCTCTACGGAAAGCGAAAGATCGTTGAGAAGCATGCTCGATATGCCCTCTACCATCCAAGTGCCGAAGCTGTCGCCGCGATGCTTGTTGATCTTCCTTACAAACTCCTTAATTCTCTTTTCATCAACATCCCGATTTACTTCATGACCAACTTGCGTCGCGACTCTGCTGGGCCATTCTTCTTTTTCCTTCTCATCTCCTTCAGCATCACAGTCTCCATGTCAATGATATTCCGATTCCTCGGCTCTGTCACCAAGACGACATCGCAAGCGCTGGCGCCTTCCGCTGTCATTCTTCTAGCTTTGATGCTGTT